AAGGACATACTGAATCTGATTCAGGTATTTCTCATATCTTTCCATTCTTCTAACTATGCGCCATTTGGATCTGAAATTAAAATGTGAAACTTTTAAAAGTAAGCTAATAAGAAGCTACTACAGACTACAGAAGTGCACATCCAGTCAGCAGGTCGTAGGGATCCATTCCTCTCCAACTACTTTTCCTCATGGGCTGACGTCAGTTGGCGAACCTCTGGAAACCTAAGAGCATTGAAAAGCTGATCTGTCTCGCCTTCCCACTCTTCTTCAATGAGCATCTATGATCCCAAGCTCAAAAGAACACAGAACAACCAAGTTCTGTGGTGGTTGTTTCATTCTTAAGTTCAGCCACCCACTTGAAACATAACGGTCCACTTATTTGCACCTCCGACGACTTATCGTCTAGCACAACAGTCATCGAATTCGTTGACCGTACATGTCAAGACTTCGAAATAGAGCTTCATGAAATCCATCTTGAACCAAGGCACATATGTCAATTGATGCTAGATGCTTTCAAATCAATCGATCTTCATAAACCCCCAAGTGAGTTACATTCCCGTGGTTTTCAGTGAATCGCTTCGAGATGGACCGATGGAAATACTCATGACAACTCTGAAGAAAAGGGGCCGGACAATTCGGAAATAAGGATGGATACCCGGAAATAATCGGTCTGTTATATCACGAATTGATAGGACCGGGGCAAAGTTGTGCACTGGGTTCCAATCCAGTGGCTCAATGTTAACGCATGAACAACGAAACCCTACTGTTCTTGCTCCGACCTCCCATGAGTGCGTGTGCACTCATAACTGAGAAGTCTCAGCTATCCAGTTCTCAATAGGTCTGTGCTTCATTTCAATATGATATGCAAACAACTCTACATTCTACAATCAGTAACTTTATGAATGAGTTTCTTATGGTTATCGTACTACGATTTGTCTTATCGCTTGAAACCACGGACAATCAGAGGTTGAGACTACTTACATGGCATCATATCTAGTGAGCACATATGCCAACTAACACTTCAGTGAATATAAGAGACAATACTCGACCATCATCATTAGGTAACATGGCCGACCAGTAACCCATCCAGACGTGCTGTTCATCCCTAATTCAGACTGCTCACAGCCTTCTTAACTCCAGCAAGAGTGGAAGGCCCCTTCTCAATACCCCAATCAGGATGCAGATAGATAGCGGGTAACTGAAGAGTAGGTGAAGGCCAGAGCAACTGTTGCTCAAAATCTTCTGTCCATTGTTTCAGTCGTCGCCCTGTGAATCAGTTCCTATCGTTTTACTAGAAAGGAAACCATACATGTCACATGACGAACGAAACAAGATTGACAGTCTACGGCCAGTGAACGTGTAATAGATGCAGAATATGTTTTTACAGAAATTATTGAAGAGCTCAAAATCTTTTGTCTCTACCCAATGTCGATTGGAGAACCGGATCTCAATAAAATCTAAAAACAATGCAAGACACTCTGCAACAGGTCTAAGTGGTAACAAAGCATTTTTGTGGTGCTTTTGGGATATCATTTCTACAACAGACATTGATTAGTAGGAGATAATACTTCAGGATTTTCAGTAACTTCTGTAAAACAGTCTACTAGACTTATTACACTTTCATTGACTGCAGACAGTCAATCTTCATTCATTCGTCATATCACTGAAGGATATAAATCCACCATCATCTCATACACAGCAATGATATAGAGATCGAAGTTATTTATGAATGCAAAACAAATACAAATCGTTTCTTTCCACGTGAAGATGCTGCCTGTTAAATATTGCAGAATTCCACTCAGCAGGCACTTTAAGAACATCAGTGGGACTGACAAAGCATGTTTAAACTATTTTCCCATGTTCTGAATAATCTAGTTTAAGTGACTCTGTGATTTGCTTTCAGCTTGATAGATGTGAACACACATGAAATTGTATTGCCCATATTGTATATTTAATAGGTGTGATTATCATGAAAATCATTATGGAACAAAAGTAACTCACTTTATTTCGACCTCTTTAAGTCGACCGTCAGACTTTTCGGTCTGAAACTTATTATAATCCTGTGGAGCTGTCAAACGATCATTGAGCCTCTTGTTTGCAGATTGACCAACAGTGTGAGCTTTATAAGAATGGTCAGAATACATCCGAGGAACCGACATCACCACGTAACGAAATTATTATACTTGATGTGTCCCCAGTTCAGTATGAGATCAATCTTTAATAAGGTGCAATCTTCCAATCGGGAAGCTTGAAAGTTGAACCAATCAAAGACCACCTTTGAATCCCAACTAGTAGTCAACTAACTGATATGAATAAAGTATTAGATCAGTGGAGCTTCATTATGAGTATGAAATTATTTCCTTGAATTTATCATCTAGATGATAAGATCTTGTCTTTAGAATATAATCCGTTATGAAATCATACAAATATTACCGTACCATTCGATTGGCGCCTTTTCTTCACTTTCAACAGTCAAATGGAACCCACCCCCTCCCTAATAGACATAAAAATAAACCTAAACAGCCCGAATAAATAATCATTAAGTACTGCAAGGCGTTTTTGCAAACACTGCGTATCCAGCAGTAACAAAATTTCTGTAATCTTACTTCAATAAAGCACGAATCATTCAATAAGAAGCACTAAGACATACAACTTCACACAAAAGTATGCCTGTTCCAGCTGGAAAAACATAACATACTTAAACAGATAAAGGATAATAGTCAAATAAGTAAGTAGCTGATTGAACGGAAAGCCCTGTGCAAGAGAACTTACAACATATTCAGAATTCCGAAAAAAGTCAATACACCTGTGCCACTGAGTTCAATTTTTAGATGTAATCCGGTGTCCAAAGACTTTTCATCCGTCAAACAGTATTTCTGTTCATGACTCGAATAAGTAGATTGTTGACTCATAGATGGTTAGTATTTCTAACCGCACTGACACATCTTGAGCTGAATTAGTGTGCTGTGGTTGACGTTCGAAATGTAGTTCTTTCAGATATCACACCCGGTTTAATGAATGCCAGTACACTTTACCGAACCACCTTGCTTGCCGAAAACCCAAAACATAATATCAGTGTTGATCACTTTATGAATCAACAACGCAGAACTTTACTCAATGCAATGCGAAAGCCTACATAATTGAAATATAATATACCTTTATGCCTCCCAGAAGTATACAACTATATAATGTACTACTGCGCTTCGTACTTCTTACATAAACAATCAGATTTCAGAGAAGAGTACAACTGGGGAGCTGTGTTAGGATGTGATCCCACCTCAGTTGCGCTCTAGGCCTCGATGCTTTTAGTAAAATAAAGTAAGATCAAATATCAGGCACACATTTTGAATGGTTCAACTTAAATAAATTGGAATGTATCTTATATCAGTGTTGAAGATTAAAAAGAAATCAAACCCTCACAGTTGATGCAATCCTTCGAATGAGATGAGCTCACCCAACCAGTGACAAGTCTTGAAGCAGAATGTAACATACTGAAATGGTAAAACGCACATTTGTTAGAGGCATTTAGTAAATCTTCTCACCTAACATGACCAAAACTATGCAGGGCTCTGGAACCTGGGAAGTTGAAGAGGCGGGTAATTACTGTAAAAGGTATATCCATAACGGTTGGACAGAATTGTAGTCATGGGATACTACTGACCAAGCCCACCAACTGGTATCCCCAGGATTGGGCTTTCTGTAACCTCTGGGACGGCATAAGCAACACAACATTCTTGGTTGCAGCAATCTTCAGACGCCACAGCTACACAATTCAACTACTGGAGCAAAATACCATCAGCCACATGCCCTGTAGGGAGTAGACCAATGTCTGTAGTCAGATGTACCGTATGTCTATAACGAAACTAAACAGAAACTTCAACACCGAGCACAACTGAAGGACACCACTAGTTGTCATTAATTCAGATGATAAATTTCCATAGGCCCTTACACAGCTGTCTGAGTTCTAGTACAGAACTCTGATCAGGATACTACTTTCAGTCACAGTATTTCAGTCCACACAGAGAAATGCCGCCCTCTAGACAAGGAATACGGCAAGTGTTCTCCATCGGTGAGTATGCGTCTTGGAATCTGTCGAACGGTGAGAATCTGATCGGAGCATCATCATCTGAAAACCGCCTGGATCTCTCGTTTGCTGCCCTTGACCTCAGATAACTATGGACCCAACGACAATGAGCACAATGTTATTGGAACTGGTTCCCCTATGGTGGTCACACAGACTCACCCTTCGTATAGGGCGGAATGATCATTGAAGTCTATCTGTCTGACGTAAATACCCTATAACTATCCGATAATTACTACTTTCATTACTCTACTCAGTAATTTTCTGCTCCGGTGGTGGGAAAGCAACAGTTCACGCTTTGCATCGGTTTAGGTTAGAAACTACACCATCACCTAACTTTCTTGATGTCGTGAAGACACTTACGAACATCTGGTACTGGTGAACTTTTTACTTTGTGAAAACCATTTACAAGAAGATAAAATCATCCGTTTCACTAGTCACATGTTTCAACATCAAACATGACATCACCCACTCCAATGACGCATTGTCAGATCCTGGCAGGCAATGCAGGTTTAGCTTAATACCACTCAGCTCTAGCAAAGTGGTAGCGGGATCTGACAATTTTTTACAACCACACGTCGTTTGTAATCCAGACGTCATAAAGGTGCTGCTCAGCTACGACAGAAAACAATGCCAGTACATCCCACAGCTGCTCACGTTGATATTGCTACACAGTCCATTGTGGTCACTGCGAGAAAATCGCTAGACGGTAACTAGACCATTTTCAATTTTCAAGTCACCCGACATAGTTGTCTGATTCAAGAACTTGTATTCATACGATTAAAAAAATATTTATTTTCATTATCTGCAAGCAAAGTCATTCTAAACCCAACAAACAATGAAAGGGTGGTCTGAAGACCAATTTAAAAGGGAAATTAGTTGATTTGAATAACGTCCAAAACAGTTACAAAAGGAAATATCAAAACTGAAAATCACCACCCTGACCAGGAACAGAATCAGGTGCAATAAACTGGAACTCTTGCTGTAGATTTGGAAGTGCTTCAGAGTCCGGTACTTCATTAAAAGCGACTTCCACACTTGATCTTTCATCGTCATCCTGAATAACAAAGAAAATTGTTAAACAATTAGGCTTGTGGCATAAAATCTAACTGTGCTAATCAGAAAAGTCAAAGACATCCAGTGGAGCTTGCAGTAAGTGACTTTCCCTTTTACTTCACACTCTATCATGAAAAGATGGCAGTTAGAATAACATACTACGCGACAAATGCAACTCGACTATTTAACAATCATGACAGTGGTCAAGGATGATCAGCAGTGAAGGGCATAGCGACAACTGGAGTTCATTCATTAGACGTTTGTCATGAAGTTAGAAAGAGTCACTTGTTACGCTTTGCTTGGACTGTTCAACTTTAACATTGCTGCAGTTCAGTGTGCGCTATAAAACACTAGTTGACGAAGCTGCTTTTGCATGCTGGGTCCCTAATTCAAAAATATCTTGACGCATAAAAACCGCTAACCAAAGGATAACTGTGGGAAGAGAAATGAAAGATTCGCTTGAGTCCGCAAAGGAATCAACCACAGATGCCAACTATGGAACAGATTGGAAATACTAATATGTAAGTACTAACACTGCTGAAAAACGAGGCGATTTAGTGCAGAAAATACCCAGTAAAACTCTACATAAAGACAACACTTACCACGTCATTAAAGTACTTTTCAATCAGGTGATAAGCAGTTTCGTAAACCTGTTGGTTACTGTGATCTTGCAATGCCTCCAGTTTATCTAGACCTCCACAAGTCTCTAACTCTATACAAGCAGATTCCAACTGACCAAACTGGTCGGAGACCTAGGTAGAAAATCAGAAAGACATTGAATTTGTAACGTTTAGAACAATAGCAAAAACGACCACTCGACATAGAGGCAAAACTCTATTCGTGATCCGCCAAGTTGATGTTTAGCCAGTGTTTGCTATTTTACAGAAGTACTTGTTTCACAAAACAATGTTAATTTAGAAAGCCACACTGCGGCAAGAATGTGAACTTTTAGAAATGCATCCCATTTTGAGATGTCTTTCTGAATACAAAGCAAAAGTGACCCTAAACTCGCATACCTAGGGCATTTTCCTGATACTGCAACCATAAATTCATGAAAGGTGCGGAACGCATGGGAGCCAAATATGACCAGATCCCTGCTCAGTGTGTTTGGAAGACCCTGTGCTGTCAGTGTCTTCACCTAGCAAGACAATATCGTCTGCATGCTTTAAGTCAACCGGATACTCCCTAGGGAATAGACCAATCTCTGTGAAGTCAGACGTAACTACGCTTTAGTACTTCTATGAAGAAGTTAAATAGGAACAGTGAGAGTGGGTAACCGTAGCAGACACCACCACTCACATAACTCTCCACAAACCTGCACGTGCGTGAGTTTGAGCAAAAGGACTTGGTTTACATTGCACACTTGCTTTGTACTCCCTTCAGTCAGATAATGCGACAATACGTTACGGTCATCTTCAGATCAAGAAATATGATAAGTATCGGCTGTCTGCGTTCCAGAACCTGTCAGAGAGGGAAAACATGATCGATGCACTTTCAACCAGGTTTTAATCCTTAAGTTAGCTGTCCATGTTCGTTAGCTGTCAGGTTACCGCAGATGCTGGGATATTAGAAACTGTATCAGTAACGCCAATGCTCCTGTGGTTATCAGAGGAATACCTCCCTTTCTTCCTAAATGACCAATGAAGTGCACGTTCGACATTACCGCAGACTCCTATAAAACACCAACCAGTACTTTTTGTCAACAATTTCGCCATTCCACCCTTAAAAACGTAGGGTGACAAAGTCAGGTCTGGCTGCTTCATCATCATCATCATCATTATCAACATAGGACCAGGCATTACTGCGTAACGGTCCGAGTTGCCACACCTCATATCAGCACATCAAGTAAAAGGTAGTGAGGTGAAGGATGAAGATAAGTGAATGCAGTCAAAAGAAATATAAAGTACGAGAAGAAAGGAAAGAGGAGTGACAAAATAGTGAGATTCGGTATAGCGTTGTTAAGATGAGGATAATGTGTGTATACATCTGCGCCACTGACTTCGGTTCTGAGCCATATCACCTAGGGTCTCCAACCACTGGTTCCTCTTGTCCCGTGGACCCCAACCACCTAGTCTGCATCGTCCTACATGGCTTAAACCAACAGTCAGAGACTTCATACATTGGTGCCATGTTTTAGTCTGGCCACCTCGGGCCTTTTTCCAGCCTGAACCCACCTCAGCCAACATTGTGTGACGAGGCAATCGGTGACTAGGCATACGTAGTACGTGTCCCAACCATCTCAGTCGATGAAGGTTCACAACCTCGTCGACTGACTTACCTCTTCTCCCTAAAACTCTACACCTAACTTCTGCATTACTCACATGGTGACACCACGGAATACGTCCTATACTACGAAGGCAACGGTGGTCAAATACCTGTAACCTTCTCATGTCTTCCACTTTCAATGGCCATGTTTCACAGCCATACAGTAGAACAGAGCGGACTGCTGTGCAGTACACGCGACCCTTAATAGACAAACGAATATCACGGCGGCGCCATAGGTGGCGCAAATTGGCAAAAGCCAATCGAGCCTTTTGTATCCGTGCAGAAATCTCATCGGCAACTAACCCACCGGGTTGATCCTACTTCCCAGGTAAGTGAAGTGGTCAACACACTCAACCACTTCACTCTCTATTGTTAACCGCGGTACCGCTGAAGACCAGTCCTGGAGCAAAAATTTGCATTTGGGTGGTGAAAATCGCATCCCAAACATTCTCAAATTCCCACTCAAAGTGTTCAGAAGACTCTGCATCTTGTCAGCGTCTTCACCTAACAGGACTATGTCATCTGCATATTCTAGATCTAAGGAAAATTCACCTGTGATCCGGTCAACGTCTTTGTAATTAGGTGACGAGAGGGAAACCTCCATAAGAATATCTATGATAAAATTAAATAAGAATGGGGATAGTGGGCATCCTTGACGGACACCACTTGATGAGTATAGCTCCCTGGACAACTCACCATAGGCTCTAACATGCCCACAAGTGTTCGAGTAGAGAGCTTTCAATAAGGTGATGTACTTACTAGGCACGCCTTTCAGTGACAGACACTGCCATAAGACTTCTCGATCAACGGAGTCAAATGCCGCCTTCAGGTCGAGAAATACAGCTATTGTCGGGCGTCTGTAAGCATGCCTATGTTCCAGGACCTGGCGCAGTGTGAATATTTGGTCGATACATCCACGGCCAGGTCTAAAGCCTGCCTGGTTTTCTCGGGCTTGCTGTTCCCGAGCTCCACTCAGGCGTCGGAGAATTATAGAACTTAGGATCTTAGACACTATGTTTGTCAGGCTGATTCCTCTGTGGTTATCACAAGAGGACTTCTCGCCTTTCTTGAAGACTGGGATGATGAGTGACTTAGACCAGTCGGAGGGGATCGTATTTGATTCCCATATACTGGCTAACACTTCCGTTAGCCTGACTAAGAGAACTCTACCACCATTCTTGTATACCTCAGCAGGTAGTCCGTCTGGTCCTGCTGCCCTTCCCCGTTTCAGGCTACCTACCGCTTTCTCAACTTCTTCTAGTGTTGGGGGACCTGTCTCTATGTCCCATTCAGGGTCCGACTGGATAGCGGGCAGCGCAATGGTGGCTGGAGGCCAGTTAAACTGTTCCTCAAAGTGTTCTGCCCATCGTCCCAGTCGCCTTCCCTGCGAGTGAATCGCCGATCCGTCCTTCTCCGCTATAACCTCACTAACTGTTGTTGACCATTTCCCCCCAGTCTCCTTAATAAGTCTAAATAACTGTCTACTGTTACCGATCGCCGCTGCCTTTTCCATCTCTTTAGCCTTTGCTGCCCACCACTGTTCACGATCGTTGCGCAGACTTTTCGTCAGTTTTTTTTAAGTTGCGCTCGCTCTTCATTGTACTCAGAGCCTGCAGGGATGCATTCACGTGCATCCATTAGTTTGGAAGAAGCTGCTGATATCCACTGGCTCTTTTTAGCCATTATCTTGGAGTCGGCTACAGTCTCCAGTGCTGCTTTTACAGTAGACTGAAGATGGCACCAAGCTTCTTCTGGATGAGTGACAGTCTTTTGTTCCGATAACTGCCTAGCCAACTTCTCACTGAACACGGCTTTGGTGTTTTCGTTGTCCAGCAGAACTCGTAGTGGTTTTGTTGCCAAATTTTTTCTACGTCCATTGAGACGCAGGCATATACGTGCTCGGACCAACGCATGATCGCTGTCCAAACACGTACTCCAGAAGGAGCGGCAGTCTTCCACCGATCCTCTCCAGCGATGACTAATAGCAATGTGGTCTATCTGTGTCCATCGCTGAGTCGAGCTCGGTGGACGCCAGGTCAGACAGTGCCTTTCTTTATGTCTGAAATTTGTGCTGGCTAAAAATAGGCGGTTATCTGAGCATAGTTGTAATAGGCGATCACCGTTATCTGTACGTTCAGCTGGGATTCCGAAAGTGCCACCTAAGTGCCTTTCTGCCTCACTCAGTCTACCCACCTGTGCGTTGAGGTCACCTGCAACAACCACTACGTCCGAACGTTTGGCTTTCGAGAGGAGGTTAGACAGTTTATGGTAGAACTCGTCCTTCACTTCATCCGAACTACAGTCAGTGGGTGCGTAAGCAGAGATTACAAAGAGACAACGGCGAGTCTCACTATTCCTTTTAGTTCTCACTGTGCCGTTCAGCCTCATAGCGCAGAGGCGACTATCAACTGGGATCCAGTCTAGTAGTGAGTTTTCTGCCCTGGTGCTTAATGCTATACCTACACCTGCAAGACCACGAGAGCTAGCTATCGAATCTCCAGAAACTCGAAGGGTGAATTTTGCAGATTCACCAGATTGGTCAGGAGAGGTCAGGTGAATAACCACACTTGGGTCCTGTATGCGTGTCTCACAAACACAGCACACATCCATGCCTCGAGTTGCTAGAGTCTTTGCCAACGAAGCCTGTTGGCCAATTTGACGGAGGGTGCGGACATTGAAGGCTCCAATATGTAATTTGGAGCGTGGTTTAAGGAGACCAGGGACGCTGTTCTGTGGACTCAGATCGTTGTCGAAGGCTGCAGAGGTAGGAGAAATTGAAGATGATGCAGCATCATTAATTAAGAGACGTGAAGGAAGATTAGAAGGTAATGATGGAGGAGGAGGATAGCAGTCAGAAGAAACTTGGGTGCTGACAGAGTTGTGAGGGCGGTTGACACTTCCCGGCTGCCCACACCGTGGAAGGCTATTTCTTCTTAAGGTACCTGAAAGAGATTTGTGTGACCGCAGAGCCCATCGGACATCTGCTTGAGGCCTGTCACACCCAGCCTTTTGAGTATGATTATTTTGAATTTTTGTATTTTTGGGGCCGGATGAGCGAAAGGAAACGACAAGTGAACCAACACCGCCGGCCCGGCAGACCGTGGGGCGTGGTGGAGTGTGTTATTTTTGGGGCCGACCTTTTCTAACCCCCCCTTCCACTGAGAAGGCAGCATCAGCTTGGCACTGCTGGTCATCCAAGGGAAACACCTTACTGCTGTCACACCCCATCCAGCTAGCAGCAGTACGACTTCGCCCTCAGACCCCCATCATAGTGTAGCAATTTACACTATAACGGTAACTGCTTTTCGTCTAACCACTACCCAACAGACCTTTCTGGTATGGTAGGACCTCGAGGGAACAAGCGTTCCACCAGCATAGCTCGTTGGGTCATTGTGATATGCAAGCCCGACCACCACGTCAAGGTAGCAGCTATCGGTCGGCTGCTTCACACTAAATTCAATGCCACTTTCAAGAAGATGGTTTGCCGTCATCTACGTCCGCTAGCTTCTGGGTCAAGGTTACTGTCTTCTTCGCTGTTTCTACCACAGAATTAATATCACTCCAGGTTTCCACACGATGAGCATTGCAGTGTTCAGCTATTTTCTCCATTAAATATGAGTACTCGCCGTCCTAACCTTTAAATAGACCACAGATAGGCCTTACTATCGCTCATTTTCTGCGACCAGTCAGGCGTAGACACATGAACCCGTACTAGTGCGTGGTCGTAGTACAAACTGTTACTCTAGAAATAGCGGCAAGCCCCCACTGGTATTCTCCAACGACAGCTTATGGTGATGAATTGTGCTCGTTGGTTAGATGGTGGCGGACGCCAGGCAGTGTTTCGCCTAAAGTTAGTGCTGACCAGAACCAAGTGTGTAAGAAAAATTGTGACATAATCACCGTCAATCCGTTTACATGGGACGTCATAGATACCACCAAGATGCCTTTTCGACTGTTCAGCTCCCTTCATCGTGACTTGTTTATATGTTAGCATTCATAGACAGTAAAAAAAAAAATAAGAAATACGTGAACTCAAAGCCACTGAAATGATTAGAATGAGAATTGGTCTAAAGTAATTAGGCAAGAGATCGGTGAGCACCGTCAAGTGAGCGTAGAATTGTAACATGCGTAGTGAGTTGGCTTAGCTCCGTACACACCATGATGCAAAACCGAATAAAACCAAACTGGTCGACGTGAAACATTTAAGAAATGTAAGACAGTCAATATTTGTATTTTTTGCTGTGACCAGACTGGTGTTAGTCGTCGTGTAAAGACACGTCATCTAGTCACACCTTGAAGCTTGAATGAGAAAAGCTAACCGCATACGAATAACTGGAATTTTCACTTGGACTTTAACGGGAACAATGCCACGTGTTGTGTACGCAACATAGTGAAACAAGTGAACCATGAAGATTTTCATTTAAACTTTAACAACCACCTAGCATCAATGTCACTGTCAAAGTAACGATCCAAACACACCCGTCAATGAAAACACTATTGCGAAAACATCGTCTGTTCAAGCAACTTAGACAATTAAATATATCAAGCTCACCTCGAAAAGCTTCTTGACGGCTTCCAAAACCATGAGCACAACCTTCGGCTCATTAACCGTGAGAATATTAGATAAAGCTTTCAAAACATTCTGGTTGAGCAAATAAGCGCATTGCTCTGCAGTACCACCATTGGTAAAGTTACTGATAACCCAAACAGCCTCCTTCTGAGTTCTGAATTCGCCCTACAAAAGAAAATGTCTTACGAATGTCTGCACAGTAATGGGCGAACGGATTTGGATGTCGGATTGCCTAAGCGAACCGCTGGGACACAATAAGTGGAACTCAAGTGCCCGCAACCGTCCTATAACTAAGAAATAGCTAGCTAGCTAGAAACCATTGGGTAGGCTCACTATACTGAGAGCAGATAACACTACATAGACAATCAAAAACCAGACGAAAAATAAAACTGGTACATTTCCTAACGATGACTTACAATAGGTGATGATAGAAATCCCATTAAAGTTCAAATGGATTCCTCGTCCTTTGAGTGTCGTGGAGACATTGTCTCTATACTTCCGATGTAGATAATTATATTCCTTTTTTAGGAATCGCAACGTACGAAGGTATATTTACAACACTAAGCAGAACAAATGCTCTCCGTATAAATGGTTATCTGCCAACAACGTGGGACAAGCGGGACAAACAGTTAAGCTTACTTACTCATAATATAGACATTTAAGGAATTACCTTATGAAGTATCTCCAGGACGCAGGGTATTATGTTGTGCTTTACAACCATTTCAATCTGATCAACGTTGCCAGCCGTTATGTTGCTCACCACCCAGCAGGTCTCCTTAACTACCGTTGATTTCTCACTGTTTAACAAAGCAGGGATGAAATTCAACAGACCAGCGTCCAGAACAGCTTGCGTTTGTTCATCGGTTCCGATAACAAGGTTGCCTATTGCTCTAAGTGCAGGAGATATCAAATTAGTCTGAATTATGAAATGAGGCTGACTTGAAACATACCGTGTTCGATGCTAGGAGGCGTAGAAGAAACGGTACACATCCGCTTTCTAAGATATCATCTACGAACTCATTAACTGCGTCACTGGCATACGAAATGGCCATGCAGAATCGACCATGACCTCCTTGGAACTTTCATATTGAAGAAGCCGGTTTAGGACAGGTAGCAACTGTTTTGACAACTGGACGAGGAGGCGGAGGACTGCGATTACGACACAAGTTAGACAACATCCACGCAATGTTTGACACAACGCTCGGTTGACTCCAAACACGATCTAGAAATCTAACACAAGTAAAGGATTTTTCTCTCAACATACTTCAAGACTGGTTCTACAACGCCACATTCAATCACTATGTCTCTAAGTTTTGATCCATCCCCAGCGATATTACCGAGTGCCCACACACTCTGTTCGGCTATATTAATATCAGGATGACTCAAGAGTCCTATCAACTTTGGAACTGTCCCACTGTTGACTATCGCAGCTGTGTGGACACTATCACCAGATGCAATATTCGTTAGTGCCCACGCCGCCTCGAAAACAAGATTGTTACTGACCATTAGATCAAAAATGTTGAACTCACTGCGGGGAACTTAGAGACAAGCTAAGAATATCAACAGCACCTCTCTTATAAAGCTCCTCAATAGGAGGGTTTTTCGCTTTGGATAGCGTTTTCCTGCATAGCTGAACGGCTTTGAACCGTATACCTTCGTCACTCGATTGCATTTCCCGAATAAGTTTGTCATAATTTATACGCTCCGGAGTTTGAACTTGAATTTCCCTCAATGGAGACGTTTCATCGAGCTCTGTGAGCGTAATATTTCGTCGCTTCTGAAGTTGTTCTTCTTTCTTTGACTTCCGAAGTTCCACCGACAGATCAGTACGGCGGCGTCGTAATTCCTAACAATAAATATTACCGTTAAGTAGAGAATACTTCGGCATCCTTATCTCGATTTTTGTACAGTCTCGACCTCTCCATCCTACTAATTGAAGAAACCGCAACTGGCAATTGTGTGTCCGAGTCGGTGGACTCAAACAAAAAACCAAACCTGACTTTGGACAGGAAAAGGAATATAATAGCACTTAATATTTCTGTCAGAAGCGAGAATGGCTTTATGAGTTTAGTGTGCTATTTATTGCTTATCAGTTCCTCTTTTCGTCTTCTAAATGAAGATTTAAAATAATCCTAACCAGTCGGTCATAATGCAATTTAAAACTAAATCCCCAGTTAAAGCGTTCTAAGGTTAATCCATCCTTCTCTAGAAAGGAGGGAAGGCGATAACCTCGAACTCGACTTGAGGCCGTTTGAGGCTGTTGAAAATTTGGTGAAAAACATCAACGATCGAGAGTTCATCTAGGAGTTACTAACGTCACGTTTCCACGAATGCACTTCTGTCACAGTTGCCTCGGGATTTCGAGTCTTGAGGGACTAAATCGTTCAAGCCCTTCTCCGTGTGTGATGCTTCATGCTCCATACAGCTGAGGCTATATACATGGTGTGAATTATATTTTCAATGTGCAAGCGCCTATTTTTCAGTGTTGAGTGCAGGCCCATTATGTTTGCCCAAGTTGGAGTTGGAAGAGAGACACTCTTCCTGACCTCTAATTTCCCTCTGTAGTTCCACATCATCGGTAAAAGAAGGGCCTTAGAATAAACTCGTTGGGGTTACTCGTTTATTTACATGTTTTAAAATTATTGACCCCACCACTTTGCAGGGCATGGATTAGGGCGTCACCGATCTGATTCACGGACCTCTTCTGAAGATTGACGTCATGTGGCCCAATCTTCGATGACTAGATACTTTCCACCGGCTTACAGAATCCTAAAACAAATTAGTTGAAGTTTCATGCAAGATCGATGATCCTTCTCAAATTTCCACACGGAAAGACTTCTTTTGTGAAAAGTAGTGGTTTGCTCTGCATCACCTCACTGCTTAAGTTAGCACCTAGAGTCCCATTTCTTTAGTGGATATTCATAAACTCCCAGGTAGGTGGCCGATGGTGAGATTTGCAAATGCTGGTCACCCAATCTAGTTGCTTCAGTGCCGCTACTAATCAACTCGCGGGTTCTAACAGGAGACTGTTGTGATGCCTCAGTTTTGTTTAAAACATCGTTATTGATCTGAACACTTTAACGTGCCATTCCCACACCATTTTTACGGTATGCCAAGTAGCCTAATTTCTGCCTCCATTGTAATGTAAATCGCTAATTGGCTATTCTTTACTCTTACTGTGCAAATGCCTCAAATTGGGGACAAGGTCATTTTCATGTGTATACTTATTCATGTGTTTTGGATTGAATTATTATTATATTCTCGGAGTGATACACCCTCCCATCTGCCAGCTTCGGTCTTCTCTCTATTCCTCCGCGGTTGCAGTCAGTGACTTGCGTACTAAGTTAGCTGTCAGCTAAGCGCGCGTATCATATTCATTCTGGGATATACATAACCGTTAGCGTCAGAAACCATAACAGAGAAACATCCCTGCTTCATACTGTTGGAATGAAGTGGAATGGAGGAACAGACTGCTCGAATTAGAAACAAAGATGTTTGCATTCCTGACTTGATGCCGTTGCCGCTAAGCTTTCAGTGCCTCTGTGCATGTTTCCTGCCAACCTAAATAGTGTATATGTGTGTTCTTTGCCACTCCGCCTCTTTTCGGGGAAGAGGGGACTCCTTAACCCAGGTGGTTCGCAGGTACAGCTGCTAATTACCCTGGGGTGGGTTTTGAGTTTCACTCCATCACGCCGCTCATTCCACAATTTCCGCAGGCCACAGTTCACCCATCTACTTGGAGAATCGGGCCTCAACAGAATCGCCACCCCACTTATCAGATGATCTGTAAGGTCAACCTTCAGTAGGTAAAAGTCTCCCAGAATAGGTTATATGTGTTCCCTAGTTCAGGAGAGCAACTATCGCCTCCAGCACTTCATCGGCATACTGTACATAAGCGGATGACCCTTTCTAAATTTCTCCGCTAAGCACGAAGTCACCTTGGTCAGCCTTATTGAGCACCAAGTGGACTCTTGAAGAACGTTCAATTTTGGATCTGTATTCGGTGAGCCGAAAGAAAGAGCTAACGTTAGGTGCTACACCCTCCCTGTAACTGTGGAACAGAGTGGCGTTGACAGCAGTCGACCTGGTGATCTGACATTTCGGGAGAAATCCACGTCTCAGCAGCAGCTTTGAGATAAGCGCAATCTTTCTTGCTAAGTTCTCGTAATTCATAAAGTTTATTTGACTTTGTGCACTGCTTTAGAGGCAGTGTATACCATATATTCTGATCGGACTTCCTGAAACCTCCCCATAGGCTGACTAAATGTAAGAACCTTGTATTATCGGGTTCGTTGCCCAAATTGCCTCTTGACTGTAACCTAAGGGTTTCTTTATAGCCGTTCGAAATGTGGGATACCTGGTGGTCTCCTCATTTGTCCTTCGGCTTTTTGCATGTGGGATGCCAACAGAACATCCTCAACATCATCCGAGTTGAATAAAGGCGACCTTAAGATTTGCTGGTGGCATAGTGCAACCCCTGGAGGCCTCCTAATATGATCAGCCATTTCGCTTCAGCCTTTCAAACAGAATACACTATCCCTCTCTTTTGAAGAAAAGAAGCCCAGGCCAACCTGTCAACTAAACTTCAGTATGATGTGAAAAACCTCTCGGTTATGGTACTTGAGGTAACCTGTACCTCTGATATCACCACATGCTGGTCACCACATTCAAGTTTCACAAGCCTCTATTTCTACAAGGAGTGTCACCAGCCAGAATTTCCAGCACAACACTATCATATTTTAACGGTAGAAGTTAAGCAGATGTGGTTAATTTATACTTGACGTCAATACCAACATTTTCAGGAAATCCTTCATTTCTCAGGAATATAATAAACGTTAAGCATGTTCCGCGTTGGTACCGTGTTTGAATGGGGAAGTTCTAACACGCTTTTTCTACAGCACAGGAAATGGTTATTGTGGGGTTAGCTACAGTTTATTTAATCGCGAATGTTGATCTTCCCCTGATAAGGCTCAATGAGTAGGGAAATGGGGCTAATGACTTATTACTGGTGCGTGTAAGCAACTAAGGTAGAGGAAGTGATCAGGTATTGGAACAAACAAGTTTAGGATAATTCATTCTCCTCAGGGGTTTATCAGCTTGAAGGACAACCATGCCTTGGCTAAGCTTTCTAACTTTTTCTCCTCGATGATACATCAAAAGTTCTTTTTTCATCAAAATCAAGTCCTACTGACTAACAATTCCACGGGGCTTTCATTCTGTAAATCCAATTTTTCTGTGATACTCAGGCTTAATCCTTGTGGAGACGTTTGGCGCTGAAGTTATATCCTTTCTAGTTTCCAGCCTACTTATAATTAATGGCTCCAAAACCACTTTGACAATGACCACAAAAGTAAGCCTCAATACCATCCCGGCGTATCAATCAGACTTCGTACCCAGACGCTTCCAGAACACTCGAAGTAATGACAAGCCGGAAATCCGTTATGTTTTGAGGTTGGTTGCAGTGAAGTAAGCATCTGAGGGTGAGGTAGGTATTAACTGGGTCAGATAGGCACACGATGCCTTTGCCATCGTGGTTTCTTCGTAGTCGGCTTAAGAGATCCGACAGAAGTTGAGCGGACCGAAATTGCTAACCCCCAGCACACACGGAGCTTCCATAAATTGGGGTCAAAAGCGGAAACCGTCCCGAGGATTGTGATCATCATTTGAATGAAAATCATGTGAAGTTCGTTACCAAAAGCGGGAATATGAATGGAGGGCTTAAGAACTCTGGACCTTCGGTTGGTAGCAGGGAATCTTCAGTTCATGAACTGGTGAGCAGAGGGATTGTTTGAATCATTCGAAAAAACAGTGAGCTATTTGACTGAAAATAACAATATCCACAACTACGCGGTCTCCCAGGAGGGTCTCATATTCATGCGATACAGAAACAAATATAACGGCATTAGCTCACAGAGTTGTTGAAGGCAAGGTTTGAGTGTCTGCTATTCATGCTCAAAGATGACAATCGTCATCTTCAGTCTCGTCTGATGTGTTTTTGAAGGTGGTTTAGGAATTGTCCTGGTGCGAACTCGACAGACGCATAGGTTAGCCACTAATTGTTCGAGCTCGTTATGTACCGACGAATACGAGACCAAGGAGGAACACGATAGCGTAGTCGGATGAAGCCGTTTATTTGGGTGGACATGCCAAGATACCGATGCGTTCCAACTAACTGGCCAGAGAGTCGAATACGAGCAGTGCAACGTAACACGACAGCGTGTCAAATGACGAGGATGCTAGACCGGGTGCCTTCAGGTTAGCGAGTCCAGTTAAATCATCAAGGTCAGCATCGATGTTGAATGTCGTCAAACCCTAGGCTATTGATTTCGGGGAAGTGTGTGGCGCTACAGATCACCCCCCTAGTGGGTTCGTGAGGACTTTAAGAAGGTACCAGCCGGAAGTAGAAACCCAGTGATTTCTCCACTGGTAAAACACTTTGGATAGGCTCACTCAGTGAAGGGACCACTGGTTGTCCGGACTTACTCTAGGTTGTCATGGCAAATGAAAAATAAAATACAATAAATTGCATCGTACTTCAATTGAGGTCCTCAGTTTCCTTTGACGTTCCGTTAAGTGCTCGTTGCACCTGGAATATAAATAAAAGTCCTACAATGATAAAAATTATGTATATTTCATACAACATAAGTTACACGAATACAAACCAGCTGAAAGGCTTGATCGTTTCGGTAATGAGAAATGACTATTGTGCACAATGTTAAGCTATACATTAGATACCGTTATTTATGGCACAAGAGGTGCTTCTAGAGGAAGAACGTTATTGCTTCACAGAATTAATCTTCGGCATACTGAAGCAAGTTCACTTGGCAATTAGGAATTATTCGGCTATTGTTTGAAGGTGGGGCAGGTAGTACAGCCATGACCTTGGGGTGTGTACGTCCGCCATAAAGTTTTGGTGGCGTGGTGC